TGATCATAACAAAGCACCCAATTTTTTAGCCAAACAAAAAGATAAATACGAATATGTAAATATTAGAGTACTAACTATGTTCAAATTTCTAAGCAAACCTAAAAACCCTTTGAATCTAAGATTTTCAAATATGGTCAGTGAGTGATTAAAATTGCTCGCTAACACTAAGTGAAGAAGACTGGAAACAACTCTTTTTTAAAATACACAAAAAAAAAAAAAAGAAAAAAAGTTATATACTATTAAAAATAGCGTACTTTTTATTATTAACAAATGAAAATATGTTTAATAGGAAATTAAGAGTAAATAAAATATGCCCGCAATGCGGAACTCAAGACGAAATACGATGTACAATTGTAGTAAGATACAGCCTTTAATACATTTTTATCTTAATTCATGTGTTCAATTCTTTTAAATTTTTATTATATGGTTATAGCGTAAAGAAACGTGATAGAGAGTTTGGAAATATTTTACTCCAAGCTCTCATAAAGAAAATATTGTTTAACAAGATGAAATCATATTATGAAAAGAAAGTATTTAGGGGAAGGTTGCATAAGATAATCAGCAACGCTTATAGCAACCAAGTAAGACCCTTAGAAAACCCAGATGACTAGACATCTTCTTGGCAACAACACAGTGAATGTTTATGTATACTGTTATCCACTTTGTTTTTACTTAAAATCTATAACTTCAAACCACAAACTGAGCGGCATGTTATTGAGGCATATTAATGATTAGTGATTTTTTATGTGGATTTTTCTAAGAACTTTGTTTATATTACAACTTTAATATGGGATCATCTGATAGAAAAAAGAAGTCTAGAGCAGAAAAACGCAGGTTTAACATAAAAGCAGTATAAACTCTTAATAAAGGCCAAGATACAGGTAAAGATAAAGCAACAACATTCACTTCTCAAAACAAATCAGCTTCTACAAAAAAAAAAAAATTGGTCACTTCAACAAGCCACTGTACAATTACAAATGATTTTGAATGCTATGTTTTAATACTAAATAAAATTATCAATTTTATTGGGACAGTTGTCAATGCAAAAAACTACAAGCTAAGCATGTCATTTCTGCAAAGAAAGGTTTTGCTCATATGATTTTTATTTGTTGCTCTGGATGTGAATGGACAAAAGAGTATTTTATCTCCAAAAACATAAAAGATCGAAAAAGAGGATGGTATTGTTTATAAGCAGAGGAGAAAAACCTGTTTTGTACGCCGAAATCGCGTTTTACGGAGCCGATTTTTGTGCTAAAATTTTGTTCCACGTTTTTTTCACTTTTTTTTAGGTAGCGTCAGACAAACGCTTTTTTGTGGTATTTCTTCATAGAAACATATATAAACATAGATATTTTTCTGAAAGAAGAAGGGTTAATCTTGATTTTTATGTAGCTTTTAATGTATGGTTACTAATTTTTCATGGTTTGTTATGGTCCTGAAAGTTTAGTATATGTTCTCATAATAATTTGTAGTAGAAGAAATGTTGAGCCCGCATTTTTATTATTGATTTAATTTTCTACATGCATTTTCTAAGCATATGCCAATTTTCAACCAAAAAAAGGGAGCAGATAGTTTACTATGTGTAATTCTATATATACCACTTTTTTTAGGGAGCCTTAGGCAAACGTTTTTTTGAGGTATTTCTTTTTAGAAACACATATAAACATAGGGTATTTTTTTAAAAAAAGAAAAGTAAAGCTTGATTATTATATTATTTTTAAGTATGGTTGCCTAACTTTTTTATGAACTTTTTTGCTGAAAATTTTCGATGAAAATTTAGTCGATGTTCTCACATTAATTTTGTATCTAAGAAATGTTGAGCCCACTTTTTTTATTATTTATTCTACTTTCTACATGTATTTTCTTTTTACCTGCCAAATTTCAGCCAAAAAAAAAAAGAGCAGATATTTAACTAAGTGCAGCACTTTTGGTACCTAATTTCTGTTTTTATGAATTTTTTCTGTAACAGCTAAGGCCTTCTTAAACAGGACAGCTCATTTTCCGTAAAATTAGCGAAGGCCGACTTTTTTACGGAGAAGTATAGTTTCAATGAGAATTTTGGTTGTTTGATTTAAACTATAATAGTTAAACTCGTAAAATGCCTAATAAATGCTGCGTTTATGGTTGCTCCTCAAATTACAAATCAAAAGTAAAAGATAATGTTTATGTCACAATGTATAGGTTCCCCTTTAAATCCGAGGATCGCGAGTTATGGATTAAAAAACTTCCAAATGCAAACTTTGTGTTTACAGATTATAAGCGAATTTGTGCTCAGCACTGACCTAAAGATGCAGAATTAAAAAAAGTCAAAGGTGGTAGTTTTGTTCCAGTGCCTCCTCCATCTGTCTTTAAAGGTATACCAGTGTCTTGTATTCCAATAGTGTCTAGAAAACGAGATGTCACTGGGTTAATATGCTCTGAAAGAAATATTTTACCTGATGAGTTCGAAAACTTCAAAAAAAATGGACGTTTTTCAATTTAATTCAATTGTAAAAAATTTGAGTCAATAATAAATAACTGAAGAAAAATTTTATTTTGTTGAAAAAGAAAAAAATATATATCTTTAATATCATATGAACATTGTGGACCAGTAGCTAAGTTTTCAATATATATAACTTTAGAAGATTCTGGAGATATTTATTTTACTGGATATAGCCAACTTTTACAAATTAAACTGTCTTTTTTAAACAAAGGAGTTATTAAATATTATTCTCAACTGGAAAATGCTGTTAGTTATGTTATTAATAATGAAACAGATTCTAAGCAAGTAAGTTATATTAGGCATCAAGTAGCTTTATTAAATAAAACAAACAATACACCATTTTCTTTAGAAGACATTTCTGATGCGTTGCATCTTTATTCAAAATCTCATTCAGTATATTTTGATCTCGTTGAGAAGCTTGTTTTGCCAAGTGTACAAGAGTTACAACGAATGACAAACAAAATAAATAAACTTGAAGATACTGAATATTTAAAGATGATATTTAAAGAACTTCAGGAATTTCAAAAATACTGCTTTATCTTGGCTGATGAGGTGTACATAAAACCTGGGCTACAGTACTCTGGTGGTAAGTTATTTTTAACTAATCAACTGGAAAGTCAAGATTTTTTTTTTTAGTTTTTTTTTTAAACTATTGTTTGAAAAGCTTAAATAATTGTAGAACTCTCAATTAGTTAAAATAAATTATTTTTTAAGGTGTTAATTTTGTTTATTGATTATAGGTATTGTGTATGGTGAAGCAGAAAATATCCAAGAAAAAGCAAAAACAGTTTTAGCACTAATGCTTCTTTGTCTTTTTGGTGGCCCACGACTTGTTATAAAAGTTTTTCCAGTTTGTAAAGTTACAACAAATTTTCAAACAAGCGTGATAGAAGAATTAAATCAACAAATCATAATTGCAGGTGGAAAGCCTCTTGGGTTAATAATGGATAACTCTAGAATAAACCAAAAAACATTTTAATATTTTAATGCAAAAAAAGTTCCAGCATACTATCTTTTAAATGACACTGTGCATATTTTAAAATGTATTCGAAATAATTGGATCACTGAAAAATTACAATGTTTAAAATATAGATTGCTAAATGATAACAATACTGTGCGACTTGCAGAATGGAAATTTATAATTCAACTTCATGCTGCAGATAGTTGAATAGTTAAGTTGTCACCCTTAACACAAAAAGCTGTGTCACCAAAACCAATTGAACGACAAAATTTTGGATTAGTTCTTAAAGTTTTTTGTGATAAAACAGTTGCGGCATTATGTGTAAAATATCCTGAAGCTGAAGATACTGCACTTTTTATTGAAACAGTTGTTAAGTGGTGGCTTATTGTCAACAGTAAAGCAAAAGGTCTAGATATTAGATTAAATGATATTCGAAGAAAGCCTATTACTTCAGTCAATGATTGGCAAATAGATTTCTTAGAAAACTATATTTCGTATTTTGCTGAAAATTTGAAATGCGTAAATTCAAAATTAATAGAGAAAAAGTTAACAATGGATACTGCAAGTGCTTTACAAAAAACTTCTAAAAGATTAGCAAGCTGTGCCAAGTATTTGTTGAATTGCGGTGTATCTTATGTATTGTTAGGACATATGCAATCAGATGCACTAAAAAAACAGTTTGGGAAATATCGCCAAGGGTCAGGTGGCACATATCTGATAACTGTGCAAAATGTTATTCAAAAATTTAGAATCCACAAAACTAGAAAGTTGCTAGACAAGCATACAGATTTTACAATATTTCCTCCTGCTCACCACAACTGTGATAAGTGTGAACTTGATGTGGAGTTTAATATGTCAATATGTGAAAATTGTGAGGATCAGTTGCCAAATGAATGCAAACAAGGGCTTTTATATATTGCAGGTTTTATTGCTTACAAACTTCCAGAATTACATTCAATTTTAGAAGAAACAGACACCTTTGATATGTTTCAAAAATATGGAACTTTGATCAGTTCTTTGAATAGGGGAAGACTAAGAGAACCTTCTGACAATTTAGTCTACTTTGTTTTTTATTGTTTTTTTATATTTGAAGTGACACTTGTGAATAAAGTTTCACCATTGCTGTGCAAGAAAGGATTAATTGACATTTTTATTAACTGCAATAGTAAATTTCAATTGCTTGTTCAAAGTGTTAAAAAAGTTTGCTGCATTTTAACAAACATTTTTTTAAACAATTATTGTAAAAAACACTCTAAAGATTTTGGGAAGGAATGTTTAATAAAACAAGCAAAACTTTCAACTTCAAAATAAAATACTTTGAGTCAAAAAAGTCAAAATAATTTTAATAAAATAAAGTTAATATATTTGTTTGTTTTTATCAAAAAATTTATTATTTGTATTACAAGTGTTAAACTGCTAATATAAACATATAGTTATAAAAATGAGATTTAGTCATTTTTAGCTAAACTCCTCAAATTTTTATTGTAATTAACATATTTCTAAACGTAAAAAAAATTCCTACAATATTTGCTTTCGAAATTCAATCAAAATGTTTTGTCCTAATAAAGCTCTTTTTTTGTTTCTGAAGTTTGTTTACAAAGGCAAATATAAAAAATAATTTTAACCGTAAAAAAGTCGGCCTTCGCTAATTTTACGGAAAATGAGCTGTCGCGGCCTGTTTAAGAAGGCCTTGGTAACAGCAAACACTATATAAATACGGGGGCGGATAAGGGGGCCAGTTAGAAAAAAAAAATTTTTTTGCATAATTTTTATTTTTATTATTAGATAACAGTATAAAATGGAAAAAAATGAGTTGCACAAATATATAGATTCCTTAACAAATAGTAAGTAAATTTTTTTTTCATAGTTATATTATTGATAACTATTTTTAAAACAATAACATAAATGTTTTTTTCATAGTTATATTATTGATAACTATTTTTAAAACAATAACATAAATATTTTTAAAACAAAAACATAAAAACCTTACTCTTTTTGTTTATCTTGGTACGATAATCTTAAGTATAAAAAGATTAATGAATTAGATTAAAATTTTTTAATCTAATTGTGTATTAACAAATACTTTGTTAAGAATACATTATTTTATGATTTGTATAATATGCTACTTTTTCTTAATTTTTATAGAAGTCCACAAATCAAATTTATATTGATTTATTCTTAACAAACATATTTTTTAGTGTTTAGTTTAAAAATGATATAAAAATTACACTCATCATCTTTTATCATTTTCCTGTTGTATTCTAGTAGTATTGTATGAAGTATTATTACTTCTTCATCCTTTAAATATTATTTAAATCATTATACAAGCATGTCTTATATTTGCTTCTTGTTTAGATCATAGCACTATTATTATAGATTTCTTGAGATTACGTAAGCATAGTTCCCATAATATTTTTGCATTAATTCAATGTTTCTAAAGTTTTTTAAAATATAAGATAATTATTATTGTCTAATACTTTTTTTTTTTTATGTATACTAATTTACATATGTTTATTGTTTACATAAGTATATACCCATTCTAAATATTAGCTTCTTGTTTATTTTCATATAATCTTTATATTTTAATTTTTATTTCTTGAACTTTTGACAATAACAAACTGTTATTTTTTATTGTACAATTTTTTTGTTAACTTTAGTTGAATCAACAAGGTCCACCATTGGTAAGTTTGTATATTATAACTTCTGTTAGGAATCATAGTAATAACAGTTTAAACATGTGTGTCTAGGTTTAACTCATATTTTGTTTAATCATCTCTCCATTTATCACTTGCTATAGTTATCAATTTTGAAAACCAGTAATTTTTATTCTGCGAATATACTTAATGCCACACTTTTTTTTTTTTTTTTTTTTTGCGGTGTCTTACTCCTTTTTTAATTTTAGAACCATCTTCATATGGTACAGTTGATAAGTTCTAAAAACCTGTTATGCATTCCTTATCAATGCAACATTTATTTTTTATAACTTTTAACCTTGGTTCCAACTTTAACTGCAACGTGTGGTAAGTTTAAAGACAATTACTGTTTAATATGTGTACGCATTTCTCAACAATTGCAATATTTATTTTCTATAAAAACTTTTTAAACTGAGGAATATCCTTATCTGCTACAATTGGTATATTTTAAATACTTTACTTTCTAATATGTGTATGCATTTTTCATTAATTGCATTAATTGTTTTTTATTAACTTTTTTACCTTAGTTTTATTGTCTCCTGCATCAAGTGCTGTTTCTTAATAAAATTATCTTTTTATATTTGTATCCATTTTTTATAATTTGAAATATTAGTTTTTTATTACAACTTTTTATCCTTAGGACCGCCTTCATCTGGTACGATTGGTAAGTTTTAAAATTTTTAATTTATTTTTTTTATTTTTTTTTTTTTTATTTATTTTTTTTTAACAATTGCTATATTTTTCTTTTATTACTTTTTAACCTTAGTTTCATTGTGGTCTGGGTCAAGTGGTATGTCTAAATAATATTACTTGTTAATATGTGTATCCATTATTCATCATTTGCTATATTAATTTTTTGTTACAACTTTTTAACTTTAGGACCGTGTACATCTTCTACGATTGGTATGTTTTAAAAATTTTACCTTCTAATTGTGTATGCATTTTTCATTAATTGCAATTTTTCTTATTACAACTTTTTAACCTTAGTTTCATGTTCATCCACAACAACTGGTATGTCTAAAAACTATTACTTTTTAATGTGCACGCATTTCTCAGCAATTGCAATATCTTTAAATAACAACTCTTTCTACCTTTAGTTCCACCTGCTCAACCTTCTGCTGGTAAATTTATGAGTTAAAAATGTATTTGAATGGTTATCAAATTTGTATTATTCCTATTAATATACACTGTTTAATACATTTATATTGTGTTCTCATTTGAGTTCTCATAAAAAGAAAATCAATAGCAGTATTTAAATTTTTACTCTTATTAAAAATTTGTTAACCTATCAGTGATTTATTAGTCAATAATTTTATATGTTTAGATTACTTTAACAAGTAAAAAATTTGTATTAAGTGTTATATAATGCCATTTGTTACTAATATAATTATTATTTATTTGCTTTTAGAGCTTACATATGAAGCCTACAAAATTTACAGGACCCAGCATCCTGGAACCACCAACAACAAGTCATATTTGCGTTGGGTCCGATTTGGGGGCAAAGATGACCTCCTTTTTAGATGGCCCTATTACAACTCTGGGGACAACGGCAGAGGAGGTACTGGAAGTGGTCGTACCAGAAGAGGTTGACAAAGGACGAATGGTGGCAGCCATTATGCTAAATATAAACAGTTAAAAAGTTAACATGGTGCCACTATTCCTTTATTTTTCTTTAATAATATACAATATTAGTTAATTTGTTTTCTTTATTGTAACAATTTTTAAATTAACTTTTTCTTGGCATTTTTTTTTATTTTCATCTAAGTTTTTTGCCAAAATAATTATAAAAAAGTAGTTGCAATAAATATTTTGCATGTTTTCAATGTTATATGTGATAAAACAAATTTAAAAGTAGTACCCATAGATAATTACCACTTTCAAATGCAAATAAAGTGTCATGAGAATTTTATAACCTATATTAAATGCAAGTTTTAAAATGTATGAGTACCAGTTTAAAAGTTAAGTGTTATTAAATGTGTAGAGTCTTTTGCGTACTTTTTTAGTTTTCTTATTTTAGTTGTTATAATTAAAATGTTTGTTTGACTTTTTTAAAAATTATTTTTCTTTAAATAATTGGGCTTATATTTACAGTTCCTAAAAAATTGATTTGCATTATTCAGATTTAAGTATTTTTTTGATAGACTACTCTGGCTTACCTTCACGTGGTGCCTATTGTTAAAATTTTTAGTTTAATTATTGCATGAGTTATTTTCAGAAACTTGCCCCTTATTTACAAATAAATAAAAATCATAAATGTCTTTTTGATATGATATTTTTTTTAAATGTCAGAACGTGCTACTCATTTACAACATTTCGTGTAACAATTTTGAGCTTTTAGATATTTTTTGTTTAAAAGTTATTCTTGACAGAAAATTACCCTCTTTTCTGCCCAAAAAAGGCTAATTATGCGAATAATTTTTTTTTTAATATATAAAAAAGTGAAAATATTTATTTTGTTTTTCTTTTTGAGTACTACACCAGAAAAAAATAATTTTAAATCAGGTTATTGAAATTTACATTTTTTTAGGTGTACCACCTTTATAAAAAGCTGCATCTCATCTTACGCGTCTAAAAAAACATATTATCTTACCGAGTACTATCATAATTTAAATAGCATGTTAACAGCTAATGTATTATCTTATATAAATCATTAATTAGCAGTAGATAAGCATAAAATATTGAGGCTGTAATAAATTTTTGATGATCTTGTTTCGTTTTGACGTATTTACAAAATATTAAAAAATTATAAAAGGGATTGTATATTTTTTAAACAATAAAACGATGAATGAATAATTATACAACCAAATAATCAAAATAAATAACACCGTTGAACTTGTATGAACATACTTAATCAAACAAACTTGCAAAAAAATTCGTAGCCTACCCATAAAAGAGGTTATACCGTCTTAGGAACCTAGGGACCAAAAATTTATAACTTTAAAATTGTGTTACTTTTTAAAAAAAAAAAAATGTCTTTTTTAAATTCTTTTAAATTATCAAAAAAGTATGTTTGTGAAAAATCAAAAAAATGAAGATTCTTTATAGATGTATCTAATCCTTAAGGAAAGTGCGTTTTTTTGCGCGTTATTTACTGTCGTTTAGATATTATTAAAAAGCGCTATGTTTAGGTACGCATGCGTAAGAACGAAAAACTTTTGAACTTTTAAAAATCCTACGGTTCTTAACAACAGAGAATATTTTATATGGTAACAGATTATTTGTTAACTAATTTCTGAAAAGCTAATGGTGTAGCCTTATTCTTAACATAAATCAATATAATAATATAAAAATTTCACAAAAGTATAAATAAATAGATCTTTGCGCGCTTAAACTTTATTTTTATTTAATACCTTTTTATTGTAAATCATAGATTTGTTTATTTATTTGAAATCAATTTTCTAAAAATCTGACTGTAGGATTTAAATATATTTTTTTTAAACTTCAGGTATGTTCTATATGTATGATATTTTTCTGGACGTTGCTTCAACTTTTTTTCCATATAAAAATTTGTTTTTACTGTTATGACTATTTCCTTATATATCAAAGTGCAATTTCATTAATTATTTTGTTAATTATTATACAAATCAAAATGAATCATTAGACCACGACATTATTGTCACGCAATCAGGAAGAATATCGAAGAAGCCAAAACATTACATTGATTACGAAATGCATTTTTAAAAGAAGGTAGACGTAACGATTGCTACGCAAAACAATTCAGAATAGCAATTAGCGATTGCAAAACTAGCAGTTCCCTTTTACGAATTGCACAAAAACTTATAACGAAAGCATTCCCTTGAGAGAGTTCCGCACGAAGAATTCTCGCTTAAAACCCAGTGCGCTGCATTTAATTTCAGTTGAAGTTTCGACGCGAAACTATACAGATTTTATATATAAACTAGTTGTAATAATTTAATATAAAAATATTGAAATAAATATTAAATAAAAACCATAGTCGAATTCTCTTCATAATAAATACAAAGACACATATATTAAACGTTCTAAGATATTTTTTATCCTTTTTTTATTTATATTTTTGTGAAACTTTTGTAATAATATACTGATCTACATAAAAATCAGGCTATAACATTTAGCATTTAGTTTTCAGAGATCAAATAACACGGTTGCCAAATAAAATATACTCTGTAGTCAGCGCCGGCGCGAGTAGGTGTCACGTGGGGGGGGGGGGGGTGCCTTTACAACTTTGCCAACTAAAATATCAAAAAAAAAAAAAAAAAAAAAGGTTCTCGTTTTCCAAAATTTACCGACTGCCATTACGACATTTGCCGACTGTCTATCCTATCGAAAGGGTCGACATTTGCCGACTAACTAGTCTAAAAGGGTCCGATTTGCCGACTATATATATATATATATATATATATATATATATAGATATAGATATAGATATATCTATATATCTATATATATATATATATATATATATATATATATATATATATATATATATATATATATATATATATAGATATATATATATAGATATAGATATATCTATATATCTATATATATATATATATATATATATATATATATATATATATATATATATATATATATATATATATATATATATATATATATAGATATAGATATAGATATATCTATATATCTATATATATATATATATATATATATATATATATATATATATATATATATATATATATATATATATATATATATAGATATAGATATATCTATATATCTATATATATATATATATATATATATATATATATATATATATATATATATATATATATATATATATATATATATATATATATATATATATATATATATATATATATATATATATATATCTATATATATCTATATATATATATATATATATATATATATATATATATATATATATATATATATATATATATATATTTATATATATATATATATATATATATATATATATATATATATATATATATATATATATATACATATATATATATATATATATATATATATATATGTATATATATATGTATATATATATATATATATATATATATATATATATATATATATATATATATATATATATATATATATATATATACATATATATAAGGAGAGAGAGAGATTGTAATATTTCGGCTGCAAAGATGCTCAACTTATGCAACCTTCCCTTAGCATAAAATTTTTACTTAAGAAACTAGATAATAAAAGTATATTAAAGAAAGAATTTCTATTAATAAAAACAAATAACACACAAGATAAACACGTTAATAAGATTAGAAATACTTTCAAAAATGAAAATCCTAATTTGGTTGCTGATATAAAATAATTATCATAGGTAATCTTTGCATTTTCGAGTTTCAATTTTACTTTGTACTTTCTTTTTTCTGTTTTTTATTTTAGTTTTTAACGGAATTAAATATTTTATATTTTGTTATTTACCCTTTGTAAAACGGCTTATTTTTTATTTTTTTGTTTACAAGATTAATTTTCTTAAGATTGACGTCAATGAGGCATGTAGTTGGCTGACGGTAAAAAATATAGTATAACTATAGTATGCGCCCTGTCATTGTTTATTACATTACAAAGACAACCCGCCAAACCATGATGATGAGCTGAAGCAGTGGTACCTGAGCATGATGATAAACTCGCAGAGATCTAACAATCTAAATGAGTTTTAGATTGTTATTATTATATATACTATTATTAACTTTTATTTCGCTGATTAAACAATATTACAATTTTTCATATAAAATAAATAACATCGTAAACATAAAAAACCTTGATAAAAAACGTTTTTTAATTTTTCATTTTACAATATATATTTTATTATATAATATTTACTAAAAACCAACAAGAGTCCAGGAATCGACGAAATTAATGCAAGTGCTTTGAAATCAGTATTTGATAATATTGAATCGCCTCTTTTAACATTATTCAACTTATATTTAAAAACTGGTGTTTTTCCTGATAGATTAAAAATGGCAAGAGTAGTCCCTATTTATAAAAATAGCGACGACTCTTTAGCATCCAACTATAGCCCAATATCAATACTTTCTTGTTTTTTAAAGCTTCTCGAACGTGTTATGTATATTAGATTATACAACTATCTTGAAACAAATAATATTCTGTATAACAAACAATTTGGTTTTCGCAAGAGTCATTTAACATGCAATAATTGAATTAGACAATAAAGTTTTGAATGGTTTCAAAAATAATGAATATACTCGAGCCTTGTTTATTGATTTAACAAAAGCATTCGATACAGTTGACCACGAGATCCTCCTACACAAACTAGAGATGTATGGAGTAACAAACAACAATCTAAGATGGTTCAGAAATTACTTAAATAACAGGAAACAAGGAGTGTCATACAACACAGCATGTACACGGTTACAAACAATCAGTTGTGGTGTACCCCAAGACTCCATTCTTCGATCTTTACTATTTTTAATCTATGTGAACGACATTTACTTAACTTCAAACATTCTTAATTTTACTCTTTTTGCAGGTAATACGAATATTTTTTTTACTCACTCAAATATAAAAACAATATTTTCTACAGTCAATCACGAGTGCAAAACTTAAATGAGTGGTTCAAAGCTAATAAAAATTCCTTAAATATCCTCAAAACCAAATATGTTTCATTTCACAAATCATCTAATTCTGTTAATTTACCACTTTAGCTTCCTCTGCTCTTGATCAACAGCATTAATATAGAAAGAGACCATTCGATGAAAATCCTGGGAACAATTTTTCAATAAAAGCTTAGTTGGAAGAATCATATTTTGCACATCGAAAATAAAGTATCCAAGTCAATCAGCATCATGCATAAAATAAAACACCTTCTAAATAAAACTTGCTTAAAAAATATATATTATTCGTTCATTCACAGTTATATCAACTATTGTAATATCGTTTGGACAAGCACATACTCTTTAGTACTAAAAACGATATATGTAAAACAAAAGCAAGCGTGTCGAATTGTATGCAATCCTAACAGATATACCCATGCCAAACCATTATTCAAGGAAATTGGAGCTCTAAATGTTTATGAACTGAACCTTCTCCAAAATGTATTATTTATGTTTCAATCGCAAAACAATTTACTACCAAAATACTTTGAAAATCAATTTTCCACCATTGATCACAAAACCCTACAAAGTACTCTTTTCAAACTTAAACATTCCAAAAATTTTACTTAAAATAATCAAACCTCTTTAAAGCAGCTGTCAAACAGCACCTATTTAACTTACGTGACATCAACATACTCTAATACTTTTAAAAATCAAATTAATAATCACTAAAACAAATTTATCCCTTTTGGATGACCACAAACGATGATTATATCACAATACAAATAGTTTTTCTTTCTTTTACCCGTCTATCAGATCGTTACGTACAAGGCTTTATTTTTTACGTACAAGGCTAAGTATTTGCTTTATTTCTACTGATGAATTTTTAATATCACGTTAAGCTCACGTGAAGTCTATTGCAAAATCGCGAATGAAAGGGGCTTGATGATAAGACTGCAGTCTTCTACTTGCTCCTGTTATTATTTTAATTTTTATCTTATTTATAAATGTATACATGAATTAAAGTTAATGGTATGTAAAATATATAGTGACGAAATAAAATATATTATATTATATATATATATATATATATATATATATATATATATATATATATATATATATATATATATATATATATATATATATATACATATACTATATATATATACTATTTATATATACTATATATATATACTATATATAATATATATATATATATATATATATATATATATATATATATATATATATATATATATATATATATATATATATATATATATATATATATATATATATATATATACATATACTATATATATATACTATTTATATATACTATATATATATACTATATATAATATATATATATATATATATATATATATATATATATATATATATATATATATATATATATATATATATATATATATATATATATATATATATATATATATATATACTGTTATAATCAGTCAGAGATTCAAAGAAAGTAAGGATAATACGTTTATCATCACAACCTTTTCATAGAGTCCCTTTAGTCACTCATTAAAAAAAAAAACACTTTAAATTTTAAAGTAAAATAAAGATTCAATAAAGCAAAACTCAGTTTCTTTTTGTTGTTATTTTGAAAAAAATATTAAAAGTATTAAAACAAATAAGAAGAAAAATAAAAGATGGGCAGCTTTTACATAAGCCATAATAATGATAATAAAAATTTAAAATTTAAAAATCTAAAAACAAATACTGATATATGTCAGCAATGTCTGATATATGTCAGAGATGCATTTTAGTTTGTCTTTAAACGATGAAATGCTTTTTAGGTCTTTAATAATTTTATTTTGGAAATGATTCCAAAAAAGTTGACTGCTGTGATTTCATTTTCCATAGATGATAGTTGCAGTGCCGGATCAAGAGGGGACTAGGGGGGCTATAGCCTAAATTTAGGAGCCCCAAAAAAAATTTTTTTTTTGTCATTTTTAGGCTCTGGTCCATAAAAAGGCCTCCATAAACAAAAAAAGCCCCGGACCCCAAGGAATCTTAATCCGCCACTGGATAGTTGTACCTGGTATTTGAACGCAGATTATATTTTTCAGAAAATGAAAAAAAAAAAGTTATCTAAAAAAACGGTAAAAGATTGTTTTTATACTTATACATAAAAATAAATATCTGTAATGTGTTAAGTTTGTCAATGTCTAGAAACATCATGCTAAGATGATTTTTCCATTTGATCTTACTGACAAATAGAGGGCGTGGCTACCAGCTGAATGGTTTATTAGAATTCAAATTAAAAAAGACTTTCCCTTAAACGCAATTCATTATGTTGTTTGTAAGTATAGTTGACTCTCGATCTCTGGGGACTGGGAAAATTTAGTGATACCTAATGGATTTTTTTTTTAATTTTATTTATTGTAATAAATAAAATACAACTTCCATATATAAAGTTTAGAATTGATGAATAGAAACACACAAGGCTTTTCTATGCTGACAATGGACATTGCTGCAGCCGAAGCAGCATCTTAATCGTGTTTTTTTAAAAAGTGCACTGTGGGTGCATCAACTACATTCTGAGCTAATTTGTTCTATCGGTTAGTAACACGGTTTGTAAAGAAGTGCTGACGTTCTGAATTTCTTTTGGTCAGTTTTGGTTTCAAACATCGGCTGTTTCTTCTCAGATTATAACCTGAAGTTAATAAGAAAGGCTGTACTTGTGGTATGTAAAACTCAATTTCTTGTAACTGATTGAAAGTCAACTGTATACATAAGTAAACAACAAAAATAAGTAAAGTAAAATGTCAAATATTGATAGAACTAAGATTGTTCCAATAGACTTACATCTATTTTATTCCACATCTTTTAACTTGTTTACTTTTAAAAAAAAGTACTTTTAGTTGTTTAAAAAAAATATTATTGGAGTAAACCTTGCACTAGATTAGACTTCAAAGAAAAGATAGTAACAAGTGCACCAAACGTAGTTTAACTAAAAAACAGATTTAAAGATAAAGAAACGTATCTAAATTTTTAGTTTTAAAACCTTGTGTATCGAAGTTACAACTTTAGGCAGCTTTATCTCACACATTGAAGACTTATAAAAATAGAGTTATTATTCGCAAAAAAACTCAAACCGGAAAGACAAAAATATAATCACAAAAATGCACCAAGTTTTTAAAGAAAAGATTGTAAAAAGTCAACATTACGTACTAACAGCAATTGAGCGGAGGGGGTCAGGTTACAAATTATGTTGTTGACAAGATTAAATTTAAAACAAAAGTAAAGTTAATAAACATATTCCATCTTTTGCCTGTAAAAATTTAATTAAAATTTTTAGGTCTTTTTAAACAAGTTAAATTCCATTGTAGCCTTAAAACTATAAAATCAAAGACGGGAAAGTAGATTAAGCAGGCTTTTTTCGCCGGCGAATTAAAGCGTTTTATGAGAAAATGATAGCTACCATTTCTATTGATGAGTTAAATAAACGCGTTTAACCAATATTTTAATAGTTTTAGTGAGTTTTGCAAGAGTTTCAGTGGAGCCCACTTTATAAACTTTTTTTATGTTTAAAGTTTTCAACCAAAAAAATTCGAGGCCGTAAACATCAGTGTTTGAAGACGTAAACATCCGTGTACAATACGTAACAACAAAACATTCCTGATATACAATTGTTTGATCGCCTTTAGTTTTTCCGACTAAATATCAAAACTATACTTTTTAATTTAATAAAATAAATTTATAGGTCAGTTAAAGTTTAAAAAACTAAAAAGGTTTTCATTAGAAATTAAAAAAGCCAAACGAAAATCTCCATTTAATGGCGGCACTCCTTCCATGTTTTAACTACTCAAGTGAGGCAATGTAAGAGCACGCCCTACATGATCTACCTATTTCAATCAGAATTTGTTAACGCAGAAATTAAACACCGACGTCAAAAAATCAAAAATTCTTAGTTCTAAATTAATTTCTTATTAATAAACAACGCTTAATGTAAATTGAGGAGAATTTCGTGACTTCTTTTATTTCGTTCGTAATAAACCATTCAGCTGGTAGCGGCACCCTCCATTTGACAGATTCGTCAAATGGAACGATCATCTAAAACTCATTTAGATCGTTAGATCTTCACGAGTTTAGCATCACGCTCAGGTGCCACCACTTCAGCTCATCATCATGGTTTGACGGGTTGTCTTTGTAGAATTACAATGACAGGACGCATACTATAGAAATGATCCTAGTTAGTACGGTCTTAACTAAAATTATAATTATTAAAATTCGGAGAATTTTTGTATTTTGTTTCTATTGTGGGTTTATAATAACAAAATTTAATTTTTTTTTGTGTCTTCCGTTTCTAAGATTGGGTTGTTTTACTTAAAGTATGTTGTTGTTCGTCAAAGTTGATTTTAAAAATTTATAATTCTATTAACTTAAACTTGATAAAAAAAATTTTATAAGGTTTAAAATTTTATAAAATAATGTTATTATCTTTAGAAATTATACTCATGTAAAATTTACATCGTTATGATATGGTTGTAAACTTTATATAAAAGTTATAACTTTTAAGTTAAATTTAATTTCGTTATGATATGGTTGTAAACTTTATATAAAAATTATAACTTCTAAGTTAAAAGTTATAATTTCGCCGAATGATATATAAGGAAATTTCATATTTGGTTTAAAGTTTTTCATTTTATTTTATTTGAAGAAATTTTTTTTTTTTTTTTTTTTGATAACTCAATTCATTTTTTATTTTTGATCACTCAGACATCAAAAATTAGTGTGAATTCGACGTTGCAAACAACATTTATTTGTGTGAATATCGAGGACTGGATAGGAACAAAAATCCCTAATAAGTTTTTAGGGATTTTTGTTTCTATCCAGTCCTAAAAATCCCTAAAAAGTTTTTAGGGATTTTTGCTCCTATCCAGTCTTCGATATTCACACAAATAAATGTTGTTTGCAATGTCGAATTCACACAAATAAATGTTGTTTGCAAAAATGTATGAACTTTTATTATTTACTATATTATTATTATTATTATTATTATTATTATTATTATTATTATTATTATTATTATTATTATTGTTATTACTATTATTATTATTATTATTATTATTATTATTATTATTATTATTATTATTATTATTTTCTTTATTATCTTTTTGTATTATTTTGTATTTTGTATTATTATCTACACTGACTCTCTCTCTCTCTCTTTCTCTCTCTCTCTCTCTCACACACACACACACACACACACACACACACACACACACACACACACACACACACACAACTTTTGAAGAATTTCAAAATATTTAATTAAAGTCAGTGCAAGCACGCAAAATATCTTTTTTTTGTTATCAAATTTTATTCAAAAGTAATTGTTTTTAAAAATTTTTTAAATATTACTTATGCGGTGACATGAGCTTGAAAAATCAAAAAAATCTTACTTTTTTTACTCAGTCTAACATGCACAAACTTGCACTATTCATTAAACCTTTTTGAGGCAAAACAAAGTTACTTGTCATCTTAATCCTGTTAAGTATTATAATATGATCATAGGAATTCTATGATCATAGTATAATAATTGTTTTTTGAATTTTTTGAATTTGAAAATTAAAAGCCTAATTTATTTTATTTAGTTTTACTTTAATTGAATTCATTCTACTTTTTTAGAAATAATACATTATGAGAAACAATAGTTCAAATAAAGTTTGTTGACAATTTAGATTTATTTATTTATTAATACTTTTTCTCATCTTTGTCTCTTTGTCATCGTGTCTCTTTCTATTAATCTTTCATTGTGTCTCCTTCTGTTGATATTGGTAAGTATTAATTATTATCTCCTTCTCTTTATACTGGTAAGTATTAACAAAAGGTGACTCAACAGGACAAGTTAATTTTTTTTTTTTTTTAATCCATTTATTTAACCCAAAATCTCAAAATTAAAAATTACAATTTTTTTAAATAATTTTACAAAATTAGGTTAGGTGTCACTCATATAGTTAAAAACTAATCATTGGAGTACAATAAACAAACAAACAAAAAATTCAACAGAATTAATGCTAATAAATAAAAGCAAGCGTAAATTAAATTAATTCGAAAAAAAATGATTAAACTATAATAAATTAAATAAAAAGACAAAAAAATACAAAAACACTCAATTAATAACAATAGCAAACAACAATAAAAATAATTAGCAACAACAGCACAAATAATAACAAACAAATATGCAAACGAAAAAGGCAAACACAAAAACTACAAAACGAAAACAAAAACTACATAACAAAAAGGCAAACACAAAAACTTCTACAAAATAAAATGAATATATTTATTATTCTTAATGAGCCAAAACTCCTTGCTAAAACAAACTTGCATTGATTTATCTTTTGAAAGTCAAATCACAGCACTTTTAAATAAGAAGTTTTAGGCACTAGTACTCTTTCTTTGTAATCATTTGTTGTTTCCACTTTTGTTACCACATGCTAGGTTAATATTGAAACAGTAAAAAAAAAAAATTATTTTTAACTATGTTAGGATTTATTAGTATTTCATAATAAGCTTATGTTTTATTTAATTTGTTTGTTACAGTTATTTTTCTTTGCATTATTTTGCATGCATTTGTTGTTTCCAGCACTTACAAATACACTAACAAATGAGCGCTTACAAATGGAGACTATTGAATGTATTGTTCTCAACACCAAGAATCCTTAACAAATCATTCCTTTTTGATTTGGATCCAGCGCAGTGAGAAAAATATACCAAGTTTAACCTGGGGCAATAGTTATCTCTATTCAGGTTCTGGGGCATATGGTATCAAAGGAGGAAGCTGAGGAGGTAATGTATATAATTTTAATGCCTACAGTTAGTGTAACGATTGTTATTATGAATAGTAGTCTGTATATTATATAGATTGCTATTTACATTTGTTGTGGGCATGTATAGGATTAAAATAAATAAATAAATAAAAAATATTACCTTATATATATATATATATATATATATATATATATATATATATATATATATATATATATATATATATATATATATATATATATATATATAGTATGTATGTATGTATGTATGTATGTGTGTGTGTGTATACAGTATCTACTCAAATTATTAGACTCAAACTCAATTTTCAACTTTTCTTCTTTTTTGTTTTTAAAAAAAATGCACTAGAAGCAATCACAACTTAATTTTTTTATATAATCTATATACTGATATATGCAAAGCATGTTATGAAACTTAGTACTTTGTGGTGAGTCATTTCAACTTTAAAAGAACTTTGATACGCCTTAGCATACTATTTATGCACTTTAAAGTTGATGCTTTAACATCTGGATCTCAACGCCATACTTCAATCAGTCGTTCTGTGAGCTTTTGTTTACTATTTGTGTTTGATAAAACAAATTTGTGTTTGACAAGCTCCCATAGATTTTCAATAGGGTTCATATATGGAAAATTGCCAGGCCAATCAAGAAGCTGGATACTTTCATTAGCAAGAAATATTTTTATGGATTTTGCAATAGGGAATGGAGCACTATCTTGCATAAAAATTATTTTTTTACTATATTTGAAAACCACTCTCATATCTGTGGAATCAGCAAAGTCTGCAGGACAGTCTTGTATTGATCTTGTTTTATCTTCCCTTGCACAATGTAAAGATTACCAGTACCCCTGCTTGATATGCATGACCAAACCATTATAGATGCTGGGTGCTTTACAGTGTTTACAATGCCTCCAAAGTTTTAATGGTAGTTTCATTGCTGAATACAACTTGAATAAAGAAGTCAATATTGATGTTTATTAATTTTTCAAATATTAGTAAATTCAATCGGGGTAATATATTTACTCAAAAACATCTTTTGATAATTTGTACTAACCAAATATAATCTGTTTAAGTGTAAGGAGAGAAAAAATAGAAAATTCCACTCATCTTGAGAAAAAGAAGCAAGACATTTTTTAATAATTACAGGCAATCAAGTTTCGGCTTCTTCAGTGGTTAACACTTAATTCTAACTCATATCTTTTCCTTCTTAAAGGTCCAAGTGAAATGTTAATGCCTTGTTCTTTCAAAACGCTTTTCAGTTTTATTTATTGCGATTTTGTTCAACAACTTTTTTGATTTCTTCTGTCATCTCTAGCACTTGTTATTCTCTTTCAACCACAGTGACCTTTTTTCTGTTGTACTAATTTGACCCCTATTCTGAGTTTAGAACTTATTCTTTTACCTCTAGCCTGCGAGACTTCAGCTATTTTTGCAATACTTCTTTGAGTGCCATCTGTTTCTTGCAAAAGAACAGCTGCTCTAGCTAGATCACGCCGGGAACCATCACTTGCTTTACCCATTATTAATCCTAAAACAAGTGCAACACTCAATAAGTTATTATGTGACTGATTAAAAAAAATATTTAAAAGCAACTGAAATTGCATTATTTAAGTTATAAAGACAACCTACAATAATTTATGCCTCTAATAATTACATAATTAGAATTTTGACAAATAAAATTAATTGAAAGTTTTTTAATTTTATATTAATAAAATTTAACATACTTTTTAAGAACTTGAAAATATTTTTTTAAAGTATTTATATTTTAAAAATTTTCCTAATCTAAAACAAAAAATGAATGATAAGAAGTTAAATTACACATAAACAACAAAAGCAAACAGCAATAAGTTCTACCTATCAAAGAAAATCCGAAAAACTAGTGAAATCTGAAAATTTTATTCTTGAGTCTAATAATTTGAATATATATATATAAATATATATATATATATATATATATATATATATATATATATATATATATATATATATATATATATATATATATATATATATATATATACATATATATATATATATATATACATATATGTATATATATATATATATATATATATATATACATATATGTATATATATATATATATATATATATATATATATATATATATATATATATATATATATATATATATATATATATATATATATATATATATATATATATATATATATATATATATATATATATATATATATATATATATATTAAAAAAAGTTAAACAAGAAAAAAAGTATTTCTTTCTACAATTATCATTGAGTTTTCTTTATTTCTATTTTTGATCATCAGGAACTAGAAAGAATATTATTATTATTTTTAGCTGTTTATTTCATTTTTTCATTTTTGTTAGTTTCAGTCTATAACAGCTAACACAATAAAGAAAGAAGTGTAACAACGGTTTCATTCAATAAAGAAAGAAGTGTAACAAGAGTTTCAAACAATAAAGAAATGTATCAACGGTTTCAAACAATAAAGAAAGAAGTGTAACAACGGTTTCAAACATTCTTCCGTAAAAAACGTTTAAAAGACGTTTAAAAAACGTTTAAAAGACATTTAAAACGTAACTTTTAAAAACAAATGCCGTAGGGTTACGTATAAAACAAGTTCTGAGATTTGCAAAGTTTAAAAAAAAATGTGATTAAAATTTGAAGTGTTTATTTTATTGTGTTTCTTAAATTGATTTACACTTGTTGATTCAATATTTTCTTGTGACATTCCAGTTATTTACTACTCGATTACAGAAAAAATTATTTAATTATTAACTATTAAAAATTATTTTACAAAGACTTCTTATAACTTTATTAAAGAAAAATTGTTTGCAACTTTGTGTATTTATTAACTCGTTATTTTAAAGTTTGGCCTCTGACTATTTGTGTTAAAATATTCAGTTGGGTTATAGATTTTTTTTTTTACTGATTTGAACATTTGGATTAAAATACCACACCTTCTGTTTTCTAATGAGAATAAATTTAGTTATAAGTTTCTTCGTGACTGTAAGCAACTAAGCTTGATATTATAGTCAATCTATGTTGAACTTTTTTAAGTATATCAATTTACCCTTTCCAATGAGGATTCCATATAATTGCTCCATACCTTAGATGAGGACGAACTAATGACTTAAATGCGTGTTTAAATCTTCTTGTTTAAATCAGGATCTATGATGACTCCAATCAAGATCATTCGAAATAAAAGTACCCATATTTTTTCTCGACTTTTCCTTCCTCTAGTATAACTTCATTAATTTTGTATTTAAAGTTATTATTTCCAAAATGGGTTTGCAAGTTTTATAAAAACTTTGCAAGTGGAGTTTTATTTGCCATTTATTTGTCTAATCTTTTAAATTATTAAAATTGTTTGGTAAACTAATATTATCTATTTGTGGCTTAATGATTACTAAAAGTATCGCCAACAAATAGTTAACCTTAATTTTTAATTCTAGTTAAGAAACAACGAATTCAACTTTTCAAGACATTATTAACTGAGAGACGAACTTGAATTATGTGTACTCCAAAATTTTGAAAATTTTTAATACCCTAAATTTTCAGTCCCTAAAGGGGCTGAAATTTTAATGAACTCTATAAAAATACGTCAACGTTCCCCCTAAAAATATATATATTACTTAAAAGAAAAAAAAAACAATGTTTTAAATTAGCAACAAAACAAAAAAGTGATTGCAAGTAAAATGTTAAGAAAAAGAATTTAATTAATATCTTAACTAAATATTTCAAATGAATATAACGATTTAAAATTATAAATGATTATTTTGAACAGAAAGTTAACAAAAGTAAAAGATGCATTATATATATATATATATATATATATATATATATATATATATATATATATATATATATATATATATATATATATATATATATATATATACATATATATATATATATATATATATATATATATATATATATATATATATATATATATATATATATATATATATATATATATATTGTTGTTCGACACATTTAAAAGCCATTTTTTTTGTTGTTAACGTTTTCTTTTACTTATATATAAAGTTGACATTTTTCAAAAAAGTTGTTCGCTTTATATAGCATATAATACAACTTGTGACTCTTGTCGACAATTAACAAAAAACGTTATAACAATAGAAAATCACAACTTGTGACTTTTGTCAATAATTAGCACGCTAATTATTGATGACACACAACATCCCCCTTAGCTCAACAAGAGCTCATACGTAATCGTTGTACTTCCGATTAGGAAGTACTCTCCTTCCATAGCGAGTGAATTGAACAGGCTGTGACTCTGTCTCACCATCTGTTGAATAGTTTTGATCGCTGCCCGTACTATTGTCATTTTTACCATTATCCGGAGGAATTATTTGAAGATTTGGATCATCATTGACAATGTGTTTAAAGCTCGTTTCGGTAAGTTTAAATAGTGTTGAATCATAATCATCTGTTGTATCTTCTTCTTTTGTGTCTACACGACGATGTTGCAGATGAGAAAAATGTCGTGGTGACGTATGTCCGTTGACATCAACTTCAGCTGTTAAACCATTATGCAATGCTACTATACTTCCTTTCAGCCATCGTTGCGTACACGGCGTTATGTGCTTGGGTTTCACCCACACTTTGTCGCCAACTTTCCATTCATGACACTCTGTCATCGACTTTTGTGTTGATTCGATTTTATTGATTCCAGGAATTCGAACTCGCTTGTGATGTTGGCAAAATATTTCAAAAGGTGTGCCGTGTTTTGATGGAACGTTATTGATTAAAAATACAGACATGGGAATACCACATTTTACTCTCGCATTTGTTCTTTTTACCGTCCGATGAACTCTTTCAACTATTCCATTTCCCGATGGTTTTTCAACAGCTCGATAGATGAGCCTTATTTCCCATTTCGCAGCCATAGTTTGCATAAGCTGAGATCTAAATGACTTAGAGTTATCTAGAAGAACTTCAGAAGGAGGTCCAAGTGTTGACCATATTGTTTCTAACGCTTGAACAACCATAGTTGCACTTTCGTTGCTTAATTGTGTCCATAACGTATATTTGCTTGGGCCGCAATCAATACAAGTGAGATATAGCGATGAATCAACATGAGTAACATCGCAGGCTACTCTTACAGCAAGATTTCTTTTATCCCACAACATCACATTAGGGTCAATCGAGTTACATTCATCGCATTCAGCAACAACCTGTTCCACTGTGTCTCTAGTAACGTGGGTACCAGCGCGCATACATAACTCCATACTCTTGGAAACTCCCATGTGTGCTAGTGAATGAATTTTTTTAATCCTCGACCAATTTTTCAAATATTTGAAGTCTTCGTCGAACTATCATTTCGCATTGCCCAGCACATTTCACAGGTTTGTCACGAGTCAATTCAGAATTTAACCAACTAAATACACTATGAGAATCAGTTTTAATAGAGACATCACTTGGATTCCATTTCAATGCCATATTTAGATTTTCAATACATGCATCTAATTCGGCCACATTGATATGCATTGCATCAGACTTTGGTCGGAGCCATGTCGCATCTTCTATCTTTCTGTCACCTTTCGTTATCACAACTCCTTTTGCCAGCGAGCTTGCATCGCACCATACAGTCAGAGATGCATTTGGTTTAACATTCCATACACCTTTTTCCGGATCGCACTGTACGACTTTATCTACAACTTCCTGCATCATTTCGATAACATACTTATTCGTAATAGGTTCATTCCAACCTGCTTCGTTTGTACATCTTTTTATATAGCTGCATGCCGGTCTCAACCATCTAGCAACTGGTAGATTAGCAATCAGATTACCACATAATGAGAATATATCCCTCTTTGTGAGCACAGATTTAATAATAGGAAGCTTGCGTCCTCTCTTCCAAAACATCTCCTTTGTTAATGGATTTACTGTGACTTCTAATCCTAGTGCACTAACTGGGTTTTCGCCAAAATATTCATGTGCTTTTGCATGAAGACCCCATTTCTTCATATGTATCACCAGCTTTCTTCCATTTCCATTGGTTGCTAGGGTGTCATCAATGTATCCTCTTGTTGTTTTTGCCAGTGCAGAATCTTGTTGGAGAACATACCGCAATATTGAGCTCATCATCACTGGTGCCAAACTTAAACCAAAGCCCAAACGTGTAAGTGCATATCGCTGATTTTTATAGATGACCGTCTGGTAAGGCCAATGCCTTTTATGCACATGAATTTGTAAATATGCTCTTCTTAGATCCACTACCGAGTCATTGCTGTTTTTACTCATGAGTGGAGTGGAGACTCATGAGTAAAAACTCATTGCATCATTGATGACATCAGCATCCCTTGTAGAGGTTTTTACATACGTGTTAAGCTCACGATAATCAAGCACAGGTCTTATCTTCTTTTTATTATCTTGAATGACACACATTAACGGTAGTAGACCTTTAGGTTTTCCCATAATTTTATCGTCATATTTGATGAGTATACCTTCTTTGTTCCATTCATTTATTTCGTTGTTAAACGCCTCACAACGTTGGTCAGCTACATTATACTGACTTGTTCTATTTTTCATTTTAGGTTCGTTTTCCTACTCCCAACTTACAATCCATTTTTTGCCATCAAAATGAGCTTTGCTTGTTCCAATTTCAATTGTCGCAACACGAAGTTTCGATGGCAACTCAATCAAAGAATTACACAATTTCAGTTTTTCCTGTGCCAATTTGTAGTCAATCACACGTCTTTATTAAGTCCATACCCATAATCATGTCGTATTTGTTTATTACTTCATTCACACTCAGAACCACCACATCCACCAAGCACCCGTTCGTTGGGTTGCATATTTTAGCACTAACTTCTTCGCATCGAATTATTCCGCCCATTGTTGCAACATTTACTACACGAATCACTTTATAGTCAGATGGCAGTAACTTCTTGGTGATGATTGATTGCGAACAGCCAGTATCCACAAGCGCTGTAGCTTTTCTTCCGTTTATTACCAAGTCAATAGTAGGTAGTCTTGTTTCGGGACAAGTTCTTGTAAAGATACCTAATGCAAACTCGTCCCATTTAAGTTTTCCTGGTTTCTTTGACGTTTGCAGCAGTCTTTTGCAGCATGTTTATGCAAGCATTTTTTGCATAAAGAGGTACATTCACGTGCAAAGTGATTTAAGGATTCACAGTTGTAACAACGAATTTCTTTCTTCGTGTATAACTTGTCGTTCCAGTCGTCCGGTGAATTGCATTTACTTCTTCATATACAGATAAACATGCCGCATCTAATCTTGTTTGTGCAACCACGGATGCAGTCTTGACACAATCGTCAAAGCTCAACGCATCGTCTCCCCGAAGAATGGCACGCAGAATGGCACCATCATTAATGCCAATTAAGAATTGGTCACGAAGTTGGCCGTCTCTCTCTGAGGGCAAGAACTTGCAGTCTTGAGCTGCTCGAATCACTCGATGCGCAAACGTCTGTATAGATTCTTCAGTACCTCGGTAAATTTTTCCAAACTTATACCGTGAGATTAACGATGATTTTCTTATTTCCAACGTTTCCAATTTCGTTACCAATTCTTCGTACAAAACATCCTCTGGAACCTCCGGTGCTGTTAATTCTTCCATGGTCTTGTAAGTCTTTAACGGCAGAGCGGCAAGCAAAAACGCTACGTGTTGATCTG